TGAAAATATATTTAGGGATAAAAATATGGGTGTATTGTCTGATGCTTATTTTAAATTTTTCAAGCAAATTCATTTTGTGATAAAGCTGAGACTTATAGCTGCTGCTGAAATCAGCTTCCAGAAATGATCAGATGTGCTCCAACATTAGGCACATTCAAATCAAGACTGAAAACACATCTGTTTAGCTGTGCCTTTACTGAATGAACACTGTGCTGCGTCCGACAGATTGCACTATTATGCTTTTCTCTTCTTTTTCATTCTTTTATATCACATTTTACCTGTTTTTATGCTTTTTTTAAACTCATTTTTATTATTTGTTTTTTTTTTATTTAACTTGTTTCTTTTATTCTTGTCTATGGAAAGCACTTTGAATTGCCACTGTGTATGAAATGTGCTATATAAATAAACTTGCCTTGCCTTGCCTATAGCAAAATTTAAGTACCTTCTATCTTTTAGGGACTTAAAGACAGTAATTAATTGTATTTTTTTCCCCTCCAAGATTCTTGTATGTGAATTGATTCACTAAACTGATTTCATAATTTCAACCTGATCATGAATCAGTTTTACTACTTTTAGTGATGCATTAGGGTAAGGAATATTATAATTCAAAATCAGAATAATGTTGGTTAATGGTAACTAGTTGGTTTGTTTAAAAGTGCTTAACATGTAAACAACATACAGGTTTTGCAAAAGTATAAAGAAACAGCTATTTATTAATGATATTAAGTGATAAGACAATTGTATTGATATAAAAGCTTGTGAAAAGGTTTGTTACTCCCATCACTATAGCTCAGACTACACAATATCAGCCCAGTTTTGCCATGATCAATTTTATATACTTTAATTTCTTGTTAGATGTTGCTGTTATTCATAAATAAAAATAGGAGATCAAATTGAATAAGAAAAATCAATAATTTTCATTCTCATATAGCATGTCATCGGTGAAAGCTGCGGACATTTGATGACATCCTCACAAAATCATAGCTAGAATTGATTTATTTACTCATTTTGGTTCTACTGAGTCAATGACCACAGAATTGTTTTGATTTTGAACTCTATCATTTAATGTTAAAAGTTTGAAAGCTTTCAGACATCCGTACACCTGTTCTGTGCTGTTAAAAAAGATTTGTGTCGCTTTTAAAATCAAGTTTGCACCACTTTAAAAAAGTGGTAAAACGTCTCTTAGTAGGAGATTAAGACACTTACAAGTTGCTCTGATATACAGATGGAGTAAGATGTTATTCAAATCAATTCAAGAGTGTTGCCGAGACAGATGGAATGCAAATTTGTGCTTTTCCTGCAGTCTGTGTTGAGGTAAAACTCATTTGCACAAAAATAGTTAAAACCATACATTTTAAAAAAAGAATTGAGCTCCTCAAACATCCCCCAACAATAGGACAGTAGTTTCCATTCTTGGACTGAGAATGAAATCTTCAGCTGATTAATTGGAAAGATACAAACGATTGAATCGGCTATTTTAGTTTCTTTTCACCCCCAATCAATTATTGATTATTCACAAATCTCAAAATCCCTTTCTGTCAAATTTTCATTCTATTCTCTTGGCTCAAGCTTGTCATTACGCGTGCAGTCTAGACCGACAGACTCTGAATCTGCCCTTGTCTTCCTGCCCTTCAGCTGCCCACATGCTCGTTAGTCACACCTGAGCCGCTTCCTGTTGATCTCGCTGTAGTACTTCCATCTGCTCTGCAGGCTTCCTGTTGGGCTGAGTGACCTGTTTCTGATCCGCACTCTCTGTTCCTCTCTATTAATGATACATCTGATCATCACAGGTTCATTATTGCTGGACAGCTCATATGGATCATGTGCTCAGTAGGATGCCTTGACCATCACAATATGTCAGAAACTACAGTCTGCCTGTCAGAGGAGGAGCTATTAACTGTTTCATCTTTTCAGAATTCTTTCAGGCATTGGTAGGTTGTGTTAAATTGATCATTTCATTTCAATATTTAATGTAATAAATTCACCTTTATTTATATTGCGCTTTTACAATGAGGATTGTGTCAAAGCAGCTTAACATAGAAGATTATAGAGAATTGAAACGGTGTCAGTTCAGTTTTCAGAGTTTAGGTTTAGTTTAGTTCAGTTCAGTGTGATTTAAATTTTACTACTGAAAATCCAACTACTGAAGAGCAAATCTATTGAAGCACAACTCCACACATCCCAAATCAAGCAAGCCAGTGGCGACAGTGGCGAAGAAAAAAACTTCACCGATTGACGAAAGTGAAGGAAAATAATTGTGTAAATTTTTGATAAATTTAAAGGCCATTGTACATAGCGACAAAAGGCACTTCATTGGATTTTGTCAGATCAGTGTGTTGCCCCCACTGGGTTCTGTTAGAGTTTGTTTTCAGACATACTGAATCTGCATTTGTCCGGTAGTAGAATGTCTGAGAAATTAAATGCTGCTATGATTTGGAATTAGGCAGTTGGACATTGAGACCAAACTTGCTGTAGGGTTTTGACCATCCGATTGATGAGTGTGACGTCATGCGAAGCAGCTTCCAGGTCCAAGTGCTCTATCAAACTGTATGGGGAGACTCAACAAATGGCAATAATAAATGTTTACAAAGCGCTGTAATACTTGTGAAAATCATGATTGCAATATATATATATATATATATATATATATATATATATATATATATATGTACAGTTGAAGTCAGAATTGTTAGCACCCCTGAATTACTAGCCCCCTGTTTATTTTTTTCCCCAATTTCTGTTTAACTGAGAGAAATTTTTTCAACACATTTTCAAAACATAATAGTTTTAATAACTAATTTCTAATTGCTGATTTATTTTATTTTTGCCATGATGACAGTAAATTATATTTTACTAGATCTTTTTTAAGACACTTCTATACAGCTTAAAGTGACATTTAAAAGCTTAACTAGGTTAATTAGGTTAACTAGGCAGGTTAGGGTAATTAGGCAAGGAATTGTATAACAATGGCTTGCTCTGTAGACTATCAAAAAATTGCATAAATGGGCTAATAATTTTGACCTTAAAATGGCTTTTAAAAAATGAAAACTGCTTTTATTCTAGCTGAAATAAAACAAATACAACTTTCTCCAGAAAAAAAAAAATATATATATATATATATTATCAGACATACTGTGAAAATGTCCTTGCTCTGTTAAACATCATTTGGGAAATATTTAAAAAAGAAAAAAAAAGTCAAAGGGGGCAAATAAATCTGACTTCAACTGTATATATATATATATATAGTTGAAACCAGAAGTTTACGTCCACTCAAAAAAAAAAAAAAAAAAAAAAAAAACAGGAAATGTATGTAAACATTTTGATTTTCTACAAATTAAAAAAAAAAAAAAAGACTCTCTCATTATTCTGGCATTTGGCAAATGTAAATGAATTAGGTAATCCTAACAGACCTAAAATAGAAAACGTTTAGTATGAATAATCATCAGACATAAAATAAAAAAAAAACAAAAAAAAAAAAACTCTTTTTTAGAATGGACTTAAACTTCTGGTTTCAACTATATATAAATATATAAATAAATAAATAAATAAATAAATATATATATATATATATATATATATATATATATATATATATATATATATATATATATATATATATATATATATATATATATATATATATATCCTTGCCTAATATCCGATGACCATAAGAAAGTGATACAAGTCTAGAGACTGTTGTGTACACCATGATTTTATATAAAATTCACCTTAATGTGTGATATGACAAAAAAGTTGCCATAAACAAATATTTTCTCAATTAAAATGAGAAGCGGCTTGGACCTAGAAACAGTATACCATACGTAACCGATACATCACGACAAAAGTGGATAATGTAAACCTGAGATTACACAGTTTTGGCACAAGATCACCTTGTGGTTAGGAAATTTAAAAATTTAAATTTAAAAAAATTTTTGCTAAAAAAAAAAAAAAGTCATTGGTTTTGCTCAAGAATTTTTATTTTTTATTTTATTTTATTATTATTTTTTTTTTATTTAGAGCAGCATACAAGGGTAGAGCTTGCATTTATTTTGCATATGAACCATTTTGGGCATCTACCATTGTAAATTTTGTTGGAATATTCACTGTTTTATGAATACACCAGAGTATCATTACAAAACTTTGGATGTCTCTTCTGCACTATGAGCTCCTAAAGGTACTTAAAACATTAAGGGCAGCGCTGCAATGTGGGAGAAAAATGGCATACAGTGCTCAGCATAATTGAGTACTCTGCATTTTGAAAATGAATATTTGTATCCATTTCTCAGTAAAAACAGGCAAGGTATTTTGGCGCATTTAGACAAATCTGATTTATTAAACATGTATTTATTAAAAGGATATTTTAGTCATTAAACACATTTAGAAATTGAAAGATAATACAATTAAATAGAAATATATATATATAGCTTCCTAATAAACATATGAATTTAAAACATGTGAAGGGTGTACTTATAGATGCTGAGCACTGTAAATAAAATGATAATACAATAGTTAAAAGCTTTTAGTCCCACTTTGTACCAAGTGCCCTTAATTACTATGTAATTACATTTAAATGAACTGTTTGGTACAATACACTTACTTATTGTGTACATACGTTATTACATTGTACTTATATTGTATATATTGTATTGTACAACTGTCTGTAAATATAGGGGTAAATGCATTTAATTCTTTAATATTTCCATATGTTTGATTTTATGTGTAATGTAAAGTGAAGTAAAAACTACAGAAGATATATTGTTCAAATCCCTAAACTGTTCTACTCTTTTCATTAGTTCATTTTTAATGCTTTCAACTACAGAATATACAGCTTTTAAAGTTTAATTTTGTTGCTAAAGTCATTAGTTATTTTTTGTGTGGCCTGAGACCCAATTGTATTTTCATTACCACATTAAAAGAGCTGTCACTGAACTAGACTATTAATCATTTTTAAGATGTGCTGCTCAGGCAATGACCTAAACTCCCGTCTTATCTCTTTCCAGCATTCTGTAGATGCAGTGAACGCTGGAGTCAGTCCTATTGGAGACACCTCCTATAACTCCAGTCACTGGGACTTAGGGAGTTCCTTTTTCTTCGCTGGAACTGTGATAACAACAATAGGTAACACACCTCTATACCATTTAAACATTTCAAACTCCTACCATAAGGAACAAGATTTTTATATGGCTCCAAAGCACATTAAAATGCACAACTGAAGCCAAATACGAGGCATTTGCTTGTGTCATACATTTATGGTCTCAATTTCAGTCAATATGCCAGACCCCACAACCACCATCAATCATTATTTTCTCCTTCAGACCCATTTATATCCCATGTGTGAAACTGCTTGCTTCTGCTGTCAATCCCAATGAAACTACTGATGCTTTCAGAGCAATTTATTGATTTTAGATACATTTTATGGGCACAGTGAGATCTAATAAATGATGAGATCAAGTCTGTAAATAATACATATGAAACACACCACCATAGTGCATGTATAGGGAGGCAGTATTTCACTGCCATTGTAGCATTCCATTGGAGGTTTGATGTAGTACACTTGAAGTCCATAAGCTGCTCGCTGTGTTACCTGACAGAGCCTGTGATTGATTACTTAAAGAAGCTGTTGTGCAATACAGGTTAGCATTAAATGCTGACAGGACTCTCAGTGTCATTTCTTATTGGCTCAGCCGTCCAGCGGCCAGTGCGCAAAGGAATGAACAAGATTAGTTTTTACACTTCAGTTGTTATACCTTTGAACGCCCTCTCAATAGTCACATTCTGATCCACAGAGACTATAGGTGGTAATTTCTTACAAGCGTTAAACCTGCATATCTGGCTGAAATGAAAGAGATAGTTCATTTTAATATGAAAACTTGCTGTTAATTTACTCACTCTCAGGCTTCTGCAGTAAAACATTAATTAAGATTTTGAGTTGAAATGTGGTCCTTGGTGATTAATTAAATGCAAAACAGTGGCTGTAAGCACTTTTAGAGTTAAACAAACATATACAAATTAGGCTTGGCTGGTATCCACATTTTGATATTATCAAACTTCCACCCTATTTTACCTTAGTATATTATATTACCGTGAATATTAAAAAAAATAATTATGATGTAAGGCTCGGACAGCCAAACTGGTGGCATGTGCCTAAACCATTCAGAAACTGAGTCCCAAACACTAATACTGAAATATTAACAAAATAAGATGCACAACAATCTTTACTTTTATTAGCAACTAATAGCAGTTTATAAAAAAGTGCCAATACAACAGTCAAACTGAATTAAATTAACATAAAGATCCAGGGGTGCGTTTCCCAAACAACGACATAACTTGTGCCTGACCTATCATAGTATAATGCATCATTTGGGAAAAGTATGATGTAGTGAAGAGTGTTTCCCAAAACCGTATTTGCTCTATTGCAGATCCACTGATTAAACCACGTTAGTTGTAACGTAAAGCCTCCATAATGACGATCTAAACAGGGTGGAGTAACAACTTCTTTAAAGAAATACCCTAGGACTTTTTTTGTGCAAGTTTTATTGTTATACACACACACATTTTTTTTTTTTTAATTCAATATTAGTTTTGGTAAAAACATGCACTCATTGTTAATTTCGTTAATTAAAATGTATTTGAATGGCATATATAGAGCCCATGTTTCCTTTACAAATAATATTAACAATATTCAATATTCTATTCTAAAACATAAAAGCCACTTACAAAAAGCTAACACTTATTCTAATATCATAGATAAATCATCAAAATTATATATTATATAAGCTATTCATTAAGAAATATATATATATATATATATATATATAAACCGCTGTAGAAATGTCCTAGCATATTGGCCTAATGCAACAGTATACATTTCTTAATAAATAGCTTATGCTACTATAAATTAAAACTGTTATGTATGCTACATATTTTTGTTTTCATGAGCTTTGGAGACATAACGTAGATTCCACTTTCCATAGGTCACCCACCTTTCATCATAAGCCACGGCTATGTTCAAAATGCTAATAATTATTTCAAAGTGCACTATGAAGAGAACACAGTTGTCAATATGAAGATTGCAGTTGGCTCACAAAATGAGATACAAACCGTAGGAGACGCATGATTTTATAGTTAACAGAGTTCAAATGCAAAGAAATAAACAGTAATTTAACCCCTTTAATAACCCCCATTTAGCCCCGCTACATATGTTATTCATAATTTCATATACACATATTCATAATTTGTTCTATCATTATAAAGATAACCATGTAAAGACTATAAATGAGTAGGACTTCTCTTCTCCTGAATCCCCAGGTCTGTTTGCAGACACAGTGTTCTCTTGCCCTGTCTATCTTTAACCATTAGCCCTGCCGATAATCTGGAGGATTGTAAACATAGGCGAACACAGCAGCACAGATAATAGGCAATGTGTCTGAATGGTAACAAACTCAACTGATAAAAGACAAAATCCGCCATCCTCCAATTCTCGTACAGCTCAAAAATACTCGTTACAAACCAACAGCTTTGCTGTATTGGCCCTGACAGCATCGCAGAGAAACACATGCAACAAACCCTGTGAATCATGTAAACAATCACATAACGTTACGACCCTTCATGATAGACAAAATACTGCTTGCCGTACGTGGACACACGTCTCACCCAGTCATCAGGTGTCACAGCTTGGCAGGTCTGCCTTGCATTCGTAAAGCACATGCTCTCATGAATAATTAAGAAGCAGGGTCTTCTTATAGGTTAAGAAAACTCCGCTATGAATAATAATGAGAAACTGACTCGTCATCACTCCTCTAGCAGATTCGCCATACAGAACTGATTTTGTTCTCACCCCAAAAATTATTTTAAACCCAGAAGATGAAATTAGCTGACAAAAGCTGAAAATTATCCAGTTTTCCCCACAATTAAAGCTAACAGCTGCTAACATTGTCTTAATTAATGCTCAGCACACACAAGTCTGTTAAAATTTTTTAAAAAGTACTCAATGGTTTTTTGAACCTTTAACAGCAGATTGCATATTTCAGTGAGCTCTCCCTTAAACACAGAGACTGAATATTTGGTCATATTGGATATATATATGGATATCTGGAAAAAATGAAAGATGTTTGTGATGCATTGTTTAGATTTTTTTTTTTTTGTGGTTTGCAAAGCTCATGAACTTAATACCAAGTAAACATCTTTCATATGCCACATTGAATATACTGTGTGTAAGGCGACATACTAATGACACTGTTCTTTCCAGCTGTGTTTATTGACACCTCACTCTCTTGTTTTTCTAAGGTTATGGTAACATTGCTCCAAGCACAGAGGGTGGGAAAATTTTCTGCATCCTTTATGCAATATTTGGCATCCCACTCTTTGGCTTTCTGCTGGCTGGTGTCGGTGATCAACTAGGGACTATTTTTGGGAAGAGCATCGCAAAAGTGGAAAAAATGTTCAGGGTAAGTGAACTGTAGTGCATAGAAACAAAGGCTTTATGCCTGTTAAATATGTGCTTTAATTGATCGGTAGATGAGTGAGACACATTCTCATTTGCAGTGTTTTGGTCTATCTGTTTGTCCATGTTCAACCACTTTTCTAGAGTTCTTTGACAGGAGGGCCTGTGAGTGGGTGTATTTATAGGCTTTTTCTGATTTTCAGATCTAATATTTTTAATTTTAGACAGTGAAAGCACTTCAATAACATCACCTGCGATGCTTTAGAATGAAGTCAGTAGGCAGAGAGTAGGTGGCCATTTGTAATTGTTTGAATGCATTCAAACAAATTATTCAAAGGCAATCTGAGCAAGTGGATTGTCAACTACTTTTTCAACAAATGCTCAAAACATGACAAACTCTGAACATTTCAGATCTCATTTAAACATGAATTTAGTGTTGTTTACTTGTTAAATTGCATCTTAAAGGTGCACTGAAAATGCACTAATACAATATGTTTAAACTGTATGCGGTATGCGACTTAGGTAAGTGCAAAAACATATCCAGAAAATGTTTTGTATGTCCATTTACAGCCCTAGGAATTGGCTGTAGGATGAAATTCTCTAACTTTTTTTTACATGTACATATTAATGAGGTCTGCTTTCATGCTCCTGCTGCTCATGTCAGTTCCTGACGTTCACACAGTGTGATGTTTGCTAAAATATACTCATAAAATTATTCCTGAGTAAATTCCTTGTCACATTAAGTCACGTTAGCATCTGATTGAGGTGAGCAACCAAGTAGCATATTTATGAGTTATGCTTTGTATGTAAAATAGGCTAAAATATAACTCTACCTGACAAAGGGGACTGATCTTGATGTATTTAGATTTGTATTTTGTGGATTTAACACATATGTAAACAAAGGCAGGAATCAGTTTCAACCTCTGCATGAACAGATCATCATACTTTTATGGCCCTATCCGAATGATGACCAAAATTTTGCTTTCTTTTCACTCCGATAAAATCACAGTAAAAGCTGAATGATTAGGCATGACACATAAACATGCATTACAACACTTACTCAACAGTTATATGCGTCCATTGTCTCATTACTAATTTAAACTTCTAATTTCACAATAAACAAATTAAACTAACAGCAGATTAGGGATGTCCCAATCAGGTTTTTTTTTAATTCGAGTCATTTGATTTCGAGTATCTACCGATACCGAAACCCCAACCCGATACTTTTATAATACATGATAAAGAATAAAGAAGAGTGAATAAACAGATCCAGAGTATCCCTTATTTTGTATTTAATTCACAAATATTTAACTAACAGAGCACTTCTGAGGTAGCTTGAACAATCAAGTAATAAATAACATCAATTTTTCACTTTTGGACTTTAGTGCAACTGTAAATACAAACAAAAATCTTACATTAAAACAAATAGCACCTCAACTTAATATACCCGGCAGGCAATCCCAAGATTACATATGTCACAGTTTGCTATGGCAATGTTGTCATCATCAACTTTATAATATCTCCAGACCACAGACATACTGGCGGTTTCCACTTCAAGCTGCTTCAGTGTACTACTTTGTCGACATTTAACCAATAGCATCTCTGCAACAAAGTGATGTCATGCCGCACTTGTTGCTGTTTCTCTGTGAAGTCAGGAAAGAGGTCTAACTCTGTGCCACCACATGTGTAGATGTGTTAGAAAAGTTCTGAGAATATATGAGTCCCGATCGAGAGGTAACAACTGATTCCTATCAAGTCCGAAACCGTGTGATCTGGCTTGATTTCTGATCACGTGATCGGATTTGGACATCCCTACAACAGATACAATTAAACAGACCTTATGCCTCTTCAGTAGGTTCTAAGTAAACATATAATCCATATTCCCCTTATTTAGTGTTGTGATGAACTGTGATGAGATTAGGTGCTGTGTGCCTGTCGCATTACACATTATCAAGAGCTCCTGTCCTGCCTGTCATACTTTCAAAATAAGTAAAAACAATAAGCTGCGTTAAATGTAAGGAATGTAAGGAACTTCTTAAAATGTAAGGAAACACTTGTATCATTGTTGTTATCTCACTATAAAATATTGTGGCCAATCAAATGCTATGAGACCATGCATTTTAATGATCCAGGGCTTCATTTAACAGCCACTGTTATGTTCAGATTCGTGTTTATTATGGCCTTTTGCTCATGTGAAATTTATATAAGGAGGAATTAATGGTGTTTGAGGCTCACAGTATGTCATTTCCATGTACTGAACTCTTGTTATGCAATCATGCCTAGGTGTATTTGTACAGTTTATACATAATTTAACAGTTTCTCATTTTATGTCACCTTTAAAACCAGTGTACACAATGCCAAGAGGTTTATATAAAGTGGGCTCATTTTCTAGACACTTTTGCCTTTTTTTTAGTTTATTTGAAATCAGGAGTGCATTTCCCAAAAAATAACGTGACTCGCAGCTGAACTATGTAGACGAGTGAAAAAAACGATATAGTGACGAGTGTTTCTAAAAAGCCGTAGTTTCTCTGTCGCAGGTCCATCGCTTGAACCATGTTGGTTGTAACGTAAAACGCCCATAATGATGCTGTACCGGGTGGACTAACAACTTCTTTAGAGAAGAACCCCAAAATTTATTTGTGCAAATTATTTTGTTTTACATGCACGCGCTTTATAAAAAAGGAAAAAAGAAAAAACAATTTTAGTTTTGGTAAAAACTCATTTTCCATATTAACTGAAATATATGTAAATTGCACATATAGGGCCAATGTTTCCTTTACAAATATTATTAAGAACATTGCATATTCTATTCTAAATTAACACAAAATCACTTAAAAAAGCTAAAACGTATTCTGACATCATATTTATATCATATTAATAAATAAAAATTTTTTTGGCTATTTATTAAAAAATGAAATTTTATATTTATTATTTATTAAGAAATGAAAAAAAAGCCTACATTAATAATAATAATATTAATAATGATGATAATGATGATGATGATTATAATACTACTACTACTAATAACAATGATAACAATAATAATAATTATTATTATTATTGTTTTTATTATTATTAATATTTTTATTAAGTAGGATATTGTTAATTTTTTTTTTTTTTTTGAAAAGTCTACTTTTACAATTTGACATGCAAACCACTGCAGAAATGTTCTAACCAACAGGTCCATGTCATATACAGTACAAATACAGTACAAATTTCACTTTTAAATAATAGGTCACATATAGCTTTCCCTATGAGGCTGTGTTCCAAATAACATCAATGTTTTCAAAGTGCACTGTGAAGAGAACACAATTGTAAACAGGAATATTGAACTGTTAAAATACTTTAAAAGTAAAATACACCAAAGAGACATGACTTTAATGCATTTTTTTATTTTTAATCATTCCAAGTTTAAATATTAGAATGTTCTAAATGAATAGGCAGGGCTCGAAATGAACTTTTTTACATGGTAGCACCGTTGCTCCCAACTTCAAATATTTAGGAGAGCCAGAAAAATTTTAGGAGCACCAGAAAAAATTTAGGAGCGCCCACCAAAAATGAATGAGCACCATTGCAAATTGTATTTTGAGAGATTTATTTTATTTGAAAACATCATCAATTAGGATTAACAAAAAAAAAACAGAAACAACTATCTAACTGATGCTGAGATGACATTCATATTTGTGTGCAATAATTCCAATATGTATGTCAAATAATTATAGAATATTAATGATGATGAAAATGACAATAATACTAACAATAAACTACATTCCTCATTTCGATACTGCCTTGAATGTGCTTGAATGTAAGTTATCTGCTGTAAAATTCTGTTACTTAATAAAAAATAAATGTATGGTTTGCATCAAACAAAAAATTAACCATTAAAGTTAGACATATTTATTTTTCACAACTGTTTTTATATGCATGTCAATTTAATAAATAATATTTCTGCTACAAAACAAATAAAATAATAAATCATTCAATTCAATGCCGAAAGCTGTAAAGCAGTCATCAGTAACTAAATAGCAAAATAATACACATTTCAAGAAAGAACGGACAAAAGAACGTAAGAAAAGTCTCACTTTTATCACTCTTTAAAAGTTTTGGCTTCAGTTTGTCAATTTAAATGTACAGTCTAGTTATGAGCTGATCTTCATTTTTCTTCATTAGTGGAAAAGCAGACGAGTTGCCGGACCAAAATATGTGCAGGCAGAGCAGGATTCTCGCGATGACTACCAGCGCAAAACCGCTCTTTGTTATAAGCCACGGTGTCAGTGTAAACTTTGTAAAGGCGAGCTTCTTTGGCGATGATATGTACAGTATTAGATTTTACATTTATAGCTTACATTTGCGCTAAACACGCAGTGAATGCAACGCATTGAGATTCGGGTGCTTGATTGATCTCGGCTGGCAGATCAACATTCACCTGATCGCTCTCATCTGCGCCTCAACTTTAGGTGGGGTTTGCAAAACTGCTTTTCACTCTTCAGCCATTTGCATTTCCCACTGTTATTAAAGCTCCCTCCCTGTCATCTGACAGCAGAATGCCTTGAGTGATTACCTGATAATATGAACCAATATAGAGGCAGAAAAGAGCGATTTAGCACGTTTTTAGAAAAAAATCTGCAGTCGCTCAAATGCTCCCAAATATATTATGAGGTCGCATAGATTAATTTTCAAGCACATATGCAACCAAAATGGTCGCAATTTTGAGCCCTGATAGGGCATAGGGGGGATAACTGGGAATAGAACACAGCCAGGAACTATGATTATAACTACAGCTCTAGAGGTGTAGTTGCAAGCGCAGAAGTTTGCGACGCAGTTTGCGAATGTTCATTGGAACAACGGAGTTAGGGAAATGACAAATCAACGAACTATGCTTGTAACGACGGAACTTGCGACCTTAGTTGGCTAACGATGGTTTTGGGAAATGCACCCCTAGATGAGTCATTGTTGAAAGTCAGAGTCACTCTGCTAATTTCGGCCAGACAAAGTTTTCACAGAAAATGGAATACTATATGTACCCATCACAGACTTTAGGTACAGACACAGCTTAAAACATGGCTGTGACTTTTTTTTTTTTTTTTTTTAAACAAATACAACTTACAGTATTATGTTGACTATTCCAATATAATGTTCAACCTAGCCTTAGCATGCCAAGTGAGATGTTTATCATATTTCAAAATGCAAAGTCACTTCTTTCCAAGACTTCCTGGGGGAAGCATTAGTCAGGAGTATCGCAGGCCTTGTTTGTGTTAGGTTAGTCAGATCCTGCACAGCAGAGGCTCGGGTCTAGTAAATAAACAGTGAACCGGGGCTCCTGATAGCAGCAGGCTCCATCATGCTGAGCAAGTGGCATCTGCAGAACCAGCTGAGATCGCACCTCATTAGAGCCAATCAGTCTCCTTCAGATCATCATTAGGCCCTTCCGAGAGCTAATGAACACATGTCACCTTCGCAAAGTCACGAAATATCTCCTCATGCCACATGTGGCCGCTGCTGGCTACGAACCTCCTGTTAGCGTGACTAAGAATGGCTGTTGTTCTGTGTCTCTTCATTGTTCGTGTTGATATAGCATTTCTTGTTTTCTCTCTATTTCACCCCCTTCCTTCCCTCCAGCGCAAACACAATCAAATAAGCCAAACCAAGATCCGAGTGGCCTCTACACTGCTCTTCATCCTGGCCGGCTGCATCCTCTTCGTCACCATACCAGCCATTATCTTCAAGCACATTGAAGGATGGACTGGGCTAGAGGCCATTTATTTCGTGGTCATCACCCTCACGACTGTTGGAATCGGAGATTATGTCGCAGGTATGAACAGAACAACAACAACAACAACAACATGTCTGGCTGAGTTATTTACATGTAATTTGCCCACTAGCACACTCTAACAGTAGACCTGTGGATTTCTGTCATTTTTCTTTCTGAAAGTCTTTCCAGCAATATGTTTAGGGCATTTTCACAAATTGCTCATTTGAAGTGCTTGTTTCAAAACCTGGTTGGTTTATGTATTCTTTGGTTTGGTTAATTTATGTCTATCATTAGATCAAACTCTCCATGCCAGATAAATAAGATCAAGCCCTAGACACCAGACCTTGTCAGGAATTTTCTCCAGGTATATGGACAACAAGTCAGCAGAGTTTCCAATACCCAAACCTGTTCAACTGAATTAGCAATCTCCTATCAATATAGGAGTTGACTGAAAAGCTTGAGAGGAGCAGAAGCAGGAGATGAAGTATTGATGATAAAGAAAGAGCAGATGTTATTGAATAATGCTAGTTGTGTATGATTCAGTGCTCAGACTTCATCTGACCAGGATAAATCCAACAAGTGCTATTATGGCCTGTTTTCACTGTGTGGTACGGTACGATACGGTTTGGTTCAAAAATGCATACCGAACCGAAGTGTACCACTTTTTTCAGCACCCTTGCGAAAGGATACCAAATATAAGAAAGGGTACCAAAAGGTGGAGCTACAAGCGCAGCTGAACGCTGATTGGTTAAAGAGATACATCACAGGCTAAAGGAGAAGCCTGACAAAACACAGAAGCTAATTGTTTTAGCAACCTGAATCACGAACAGACTGCCATGTTTAAATATTATAATCACCTTTTGGACTATTAGGAACTTGGAATGACAGAAATACTCTCTAACAGAGGCTACATGTGCTGGTGAAGATTACAGACAAAGATGAGAGGTCCGCTCTGACTGTGGGCTATATTTTGTGTTGTTTTTGAACCTAAAGAAGGCCTAAACGTATGTTGTGTGTAGTTCTTCTGTAATTGGTGACATATCGGAGACTGTAAGGGTCTGTATGTGTTCATTTATGTAGCATTTATTTATTTTATATAATTGCAGATGTTACACTAGGCTATTTCGCACTGTTATTGGTCTGCAGTTATAATCAAATTATGTTGATAGAAAAGTTAGTAATAAACATTTATACACAAGTATTTATCTGTATAAAGCATCTGTTTTGTTAGAAGTGCTTCTCATATGATATGTGAATGACCTGTACAGCTTTACTGCAGACATTTATTCGAGCGAGAATGACATAGACTTAATCTTTCTGTCGTACACCACGCCAACCAATAGTGTACCCTTGGTAGTGGAAAAAGCCTGATAAAGGTGACATGTACCGTACCGTACTGTACCACTCAGCGGAAACGGGCCATTAAACCACAAGAAACAGCAATGGAAAACTAGAAAAGGTTCATTCTTAGAATTCTGTAATATTTCAGCTTGAGTAAACTCATTTTTAAAAGTGTATTGATTATATTTTTAAATAACCTGCATAATTAGGCACAATTTAAACTTTCAAAAAATCATATTTTCTCACCTTAAGCATTAAAGCCTTTATATTATTTTCTGTCTTATTTTTATTTGGACACCTATTGTTCTCAACCCCGTAACGGACAAAACTGAGTTGTTCATTGTATTTTACAAAGCTTTTGCTATAAAACCAACATTTACCTATTGCTCATTTGTCCCTCAAATCAGTTTAATGGCTAAAATATAACATTTTTAATATGTTTTAGATTTATACAGTTGAAGTAAGAATTATTAGCCTCCCTTTATTTTTTTTTCCCTTTTTGAAGTATTCCTTAAATGATGTTTAACAAAGCAAGGACATTTTCACAGTGTGCCTGATAATATTTTTTTTTTCTTCCGAAGAAAGAATTATTTATTTTATTTCAGCTAGAATAAAAACTATTTTTAAGAAAAAAAAAAAAAAACATTTTAGGGACAAAATTACTAGCCCCTTTAAGCTCTATTTTTTTCCAATAGTCAAACCATAGAACAAACCATCGTTATACGATAACTTGCCTAATTACCCTAACCTTTTAGGGTTGACGTGACACTTTAATTTCAGTTTTGATTTGTTTTAATTAATTTGAAGTTAGGGGTGACGCAGTGGCGCAGTAGGTAGTGCTGTCGCCTCACGGCAAGAAGGTTGCTGGTTCGAGCCTCGGCTGGGTCAGTTGATGTTTCTGTGTGGAGTTTGCATGTTCTCCCTGCATTTGCGTGGGTTTCCTCTGGGTGATCCGGTTTTCCCTACAGTCCAAAGATATGCAGTACATGTGAATTGGGTAAGAAAAATTGTCCGTAGTGTGTGTGTAAATAAGTGTGTATTTATGTTTCCCAGAAATGGGTTGCAGCTGGAAGGGCATCCGCTGCGTGAAAACGTGCTGGATTAGTTGGCAGTTTATTCCGCTGGGGCGACCCCGGATTAATAAAGGGACTAAGCCGAAAAAAAAAATGAATTAATTAATCATTTAAAATTAGATCTAAGAATTGACCAAAACATTTAGCAAAGGCATTAATCACACTGAGATGAACTTAAACTTCATTAAACCAAACTAATTCAATTTTGAAACAGAATTCAAAAAAGTCAACTTCTAAAGGTAAATGGACCATTGATAACCTTTAAAAATGCTGATAAAGGCCTATTTTACCAAATATATTAATGAACAGAACCTACAGTAAACAGGAGCAACAGGTAAATCCGGTCTGAAACATTATTTCCTGGAACATAAATAAAAACTGCAGCAGAAAAAGATCTTCTTTATGAAATTCTTAATGAAAATTCTTAATAATAATAAAATATTATAATATATAAATTTTTATTTTAATTGTATTTTTATTCATCACCAGAAAAGAACACAAATAAATGTAAAAAATATAGACAGTGTGTTTTTTTTTCATTAAATTTTTTCTACATGCAATTTTAAAGATGTGCCTCGGGACATGACAAATAGCTTGGTTTGTGACAGAAATATTATATTTCTTATGCTAAAAATGCTTTCATGAAAAAAAAAATATTATAATGTACAAAGTAAATTAATGGAAAATGCTTTTAAAATGTAATTTTAGTCATCAACAACTTAACAAAAAATATGGGGGACTAAAATATTACCGAATGCCAGGAATGACTCAAAATAAACTGCGTATACAAACTTTATGGTGGCTTGAGAATGCCTTGTCTAAAAGTTTGAAGTAGCTTTAAAGTTTAAATCATTGAAATAGTTTTTGAGAAGTTTGAAACAGCTGGCATAGACAGATCACAACATTTAGGTTAGCATGTCAATTCCACCACTAGCGGTTGCATATTCACAACTAACAAAAGCACATTTTGATTACGCCATGACTAAGTGTGGAGGCATCTTCATTATGTCCTAATGCCACTTTCCACCACTTTTTTCTGCTTGTGTTTGATCACACACAGAACATTTTAGACAGTCTAATTAAAATACACAACATTTTGTTTGTGGTGTTTCCCTGTTTTTTTATTAAAAAAAAAAAAAAAAAACAGAAATTGAGGGAGTATGACAGCATTAGCATGGCAAGACAGGACACGGTCTGTATCAGTAGTTAAAAAGATTTGAACATTCTTCAAAACTTTTGGGATAATGTAAGTACACAGGTCAACAAAACATCCAGTTGAAGTCAAAATTATTAGCCCCCCTTTAATATTTTTTTTTCTTTTTTAAATATTTCCCAAATTATGTTTAACAGAGCGCAGTATGTCTGATAATAGTTTTGTCTTATGGAGAAAGTCTTATTTGTTTTATTTAGGCAAAAAAAAAAAAAAAAAAAAAAAACAAGAATGAACTATTTTAAGGTCAAACTTATTAGACACTTTAAGCTGTATATTTTTCTTGACAATCAATGTACCTACAAACCAAGCAACATAATTGATGATGGTAAATGTTTTGCACACAAAAAAGCATTACATTAGCTATTGCAGATGAAAACCAAGGAGCATCCCTTCATCTTAAAATGCTTTGTAATTGCTTGTTTGCTTCCATTGCAAGAATGCTTCACTGATGCTGTTGTTTCTTCACACACGTTTGAACAAAATGTATTTAGAAAAATGTTATCTTTGGTGGAAATTACAACAGTTGTAAATTACAAAACATATTTAAAGTTTTATTTAAAAAATGGTTTATGATCACTTCCCCTTTTGTTAGATACTGCTTTGTTGTATCTTAGCTATAATTTAAGATTAAACAAATGAGTTTATTTAATCTTCACGTGTCATTTGGAAATGAGCAAATAAGGAAAATATAGTTAAATTGTGTTAAATATATTAATTAAATAAAAATATTTGATTAAATAACAAAATTATTGACTATTTTGTGTTTAAAAGACAAAACATGGATTAATATCTAATAGAATAGTCTAAAAGTCTAACAATATTCCAAAATACACAGATTTGTAGTAACATATCCCTGTGAACTTTTGGACAATTGTTTGACATCTATTAGATTTCAACTGACAGTCCAGATTTAGATTTGTTTTCGCTAAGACATATACTAAGACATATATATTTGTATGTCTATTAGACATCTTTTAAACACAAAAATGCTTGCTGTTATTTAAAAATATATATAAATATTTAATAATATAAAGTTACTATTGGGCCTTTAGTGAACAAGAAGTTAGAATCCCTGTAAAGGAATTGTTGGATTGTGGTATACTGTGGTATATATATATATATATATATATATATATATATATATATATATATATATATATATAGTGTATATTTGTCTATACTGTGGTAGACAAATTTTACGTACAAATTATTTTGCTTACACAATTTATTTGATTTTCTTTATTTTCAATTCACTATTTGTATAAAACACAGTCTAGAAAAAAGTTTCACTTTCTGCATTTCCAGGCATCATGAATTGTCAAGAGTATGATTGCTGTTCTCAGGAAAATAGCTTACATGGATTTGAAAGGGGGGCTTGATGTATTCCTCTAAAATAGTCGCTTGTAGGTTTAAAAGACAATCAAATGCATCCTCCTCTGAAATGAAAGTGTCATTTCTGCTTCTCTTACAGGAGGCAATAGACGAATAGAGTATCGCAAGTGGTACAGGCCGCTGGTGTGGTTCTGGATCCTGGTTGGACTGGCTTACTTTGCAGCAGTTTTAAGCATGATTGGAGACTGGCTGAGGGTGCTCTCTAAAAAGACAAAAATGGAGGTGAGATTTTTGATAGCAGTGCATTTATTTTGAGTTTTTAAGCCAAGCTTTTCAACCTAAACCTGGGGTGTCCAAACTCAGGCCTGATAGGTCAGTGTCCTGCATAGTATAGTTATTCATCCTCCTTTAACACAAGCTGCCTGGAAATTTCTAGTATACCTAGAATGAGCTTGATAAGCTGGTTCAGGTGTGACTAATTGGGGTTGGAACTAAACTTTGCAGGACACCGACCCTCCAGGACACCCCTGACCTAAATGATATAATGGTCAATTGTATTATTTTGATTAATTTTCTCAAAATTAACTAATAAAAACATAAATGTAAATAAACAGAATATCTAGAATAGTGAACATATATTGGCATGCTTTGTATTATTAATTATTTTTTTTAGGAGTAGATAAGGAATAAACAATGGGATAGATCTTGATACATGTAATATAATATTAATAAAAATAATAATCCTCATCAACCAAACAAATCGTCAAACAAAAAAGATTGTCTTTTAAGTGTGCCTGTTTGACAATATGAACACAATATAATCATGTCTCTTTCAAAATTTATTTCAGGGTTTACATATGCTGTGTTAAATAGTTTTAATAATAAATGTAATGAGAATATGTACACTCACACGTTTAAGGTATAACAAAAGTGTTTTTTCAAGGTGTAACATGGATGTTTTCTTTTTTTTTTTATTGTGCACGCCAGTGGTCTGGTCAATACTTGACAATTTTACTGCGGACCAGAGGGGGAGGAAGGGGGATTGGGTTTGTGAGTTTTGTAGGTTGCTAGACGACCATCGACCTCAAAACATTGCTGTCTCTCTGATACAGGTTTTATTTATGGGGAAAATTACAAAGCAGTGCAGTGTTTGGGTGTTTTGTGTTCGTCTGAGATAATTAGGCCCAATACCAATTCTACCACTTAGCCTTTCTCCTTGCCAATTGGTGTCCCAATTCTCTTTAGCTTGACATAGGTCATAAGGCTAAGGAGTAGTGTTATATAGCTCATCGAACAGAGATTTTTTAGGACCACACTCGAAACCAAGGGGTAAGAAAATTTCCCAGAATACAACAGCGGGATAGCTGCACACGGAAGTAAGGAGATCGACAAATTAGTATTTTTTTTTTCATTATTACAAATTTTAAGAACAAACAAGCACATGTTTTAATAAATTCATAACCGCATTCGTGTTTTACCGTCATGCTTTAAAAAAAAAATAATAATAATCACTAAAATAAAAACAGCTAAATTTCGCTGTCTATAATCCCTAATAATAACAGCAGTCCCACAACATTCTGTCACTCGATGTCATTCGAATACCCTGACAGAAAAGTCTATTGGCTGGGAATGTCCTTTTTACAGTGTCTGCTATAATGTTAATGTTGTTTTTATGTGTTTACATAGACGAATATGGCCAGTGTGTAAATGCACAGTATAGTTACTATCTTATTGCCACATTAGATCATCATGATAACATAGTATATGCCTTCAGTGATTTCCTGAAGATAAATACTAAAAAATAACACAACTGGAATAACTACAGCAGTCACGATCGTCTGATTTCATATGAAGCTTGACAAAGCGACGACATATGACAGACATCCCAAGTTGGGAATAGTCATATCTGGTGGAGAAAGAGTTGATTTGCGGGAGGTTGCGGGAGTTGATGGTGAGCGACTTATCTGAATGGGGGCGTGCGCGAGGGACATACCTGAAGAGCGATGGGGGTGAGTTGCGAGTGATGTACCTGAAGAGCTGGGAGGGATGCGATGGAGAGGAGTGTGCAACGTATTTAAGGACCGGGCGGGATATTCGTGAATTCTGGCCGGGAGGTTATCTTTCATTTGCGGGCATCCGGAAGTCTCTATGCATTTGTGGGAGACTCCCGGAACTTCCGGGAGACTTGGGATGTCTGCATGTGATGACAAGTGCAGGTCCTGTAATGCTGTCCCATTACTTAGGGGCAATTTTTGAAGTTTTTCTCCTTCACACTTGGTTTTAGAGGCCAAGGGGAAGGGGTACAAAAATAGAAATGGGGATTGGGCCTTAGTCTACTGAAATGTGTATATTCTATGGAAGCTGAAGCTGATTGTTCAATTCTTGTCATGTGTCTCATGGGGCACTCCCGGCTTTCATTCAACTGTGTAAAGCGCAAGCGCATGTGTGTGTTATTACGCATTTAGCTGGTTGTGGGTTCAATTTGGGAACCTAGTCCACAGTGCGGTCCTTGAGGACCACTGGTGTGTGTCAACAATGTGCAGGTGTTGTACATATTGACCAATCGTGGTGGATGACAAGGTAGAATCTACAATAAAGCATTGTGAAATAAGAAAACTTCTGCTCTATACAGTATACTTCTTGCAAATTCCATTTAATGATCAGTCTACGCAGTGCAAACATCCCAAGCCTGTATATTTTACTCAATATTGAAATCTTGGCTGGGTCTCATAAAAATGGCGCATATCATCCTTTTTTCAAACTAAACTTACAATTTCAAACACTGAAGTTTAAATCACATCTGGTTGGAGTGCTTCAACATCAACTCAAGTAAAGTTTTAGAAGTAGCTTTATAGCTGAAAAATATGTGTTTTTTTGTGGCAGTTTGAGCACATTCAACCACATCATCATCAACACTATGAGAGGAATCCAAATGTGTTTTTGGCTATTTCTTGTTAAAGGTGATCCAAATCAAAACATTTCAGATCTGTATTAAGTGCAATTCACTTATGATTTGATTGACAAAAAATACTTCTTAAAATCATGTAAATATGAATGCAGGAAAACAAAATGTACAGTTATATTTACCATTATCTTCTTATTGAAGGTGGGTGAAATTAAGGCTCACGCTGCTGAGTGGAAGGCCAATGTTCGAGCGGAGCTGCGTGAGACCAGGCGACGACTCAGTGTAGAAGTTCACGATAAACTTCAGAGGGCTGCCACCATCCGCAGCATGGAGCGCAGGCAGCTGGGATTTGACCAGCGTGCCCATTCCCTCGACATGTTGTCCCCTGAACGACGAGCTGCCTTCAACAGCCTGGATGCCACCAACTTCAAGACATCCTCCCAGGAGAGTATCGACACAAAGCTCAACAACCTGCGTCTGAGAGTAGAACAGAACGAGCATCGCAGGAGCGACCCTAGCCAGGCGTACTCTGAAGACAACATTTTTAACCGGCTTGGTTCAGTCACCAAACTCGCCAAGCGGAACAAGAACAGGGATTTGAAGAAAAACATCCTGGATGATGGTCGGAAAGCCTTAGATTCCTTCAGCTGTGACACTCCCCCTATGGACGAAGAGAAGAAGGAGGCCGAGGATGAGGAGCTTGAGAAAGAGGTCAACATTAGTCTCACCAACTTGCCTCTCTTTGTGGAGAGTCCCAACAAACAAAATGGATTCGTGCCTCTTCCGCCACAGACCAAAGAGGAAGAAACAGAGACAAAACTTGAGGATAAAGAGTTCCGTTTGCAGGTGGATCCATAGAAGGAACTGTGTAGTGATATAACATACCGGATAGTGCCTTGTTTAGCCCATACCCTGATCTGAGATGTGAGAATCTCAATTTCTGCTGTTCATTTAACTGTTCACTGTGCCCTGATAACTTGATAATGGAAATATGGCGATGGTAGCTCTAGAAGACATCTGGTTCTCTTCTTCAGACCAATGAATAATGCTTGGATAAGTCAGAAAGAGTCTCTCCAAAAGTTTTGGACAAGGAATGGACTAGAAATCTGTAGCAAGCTACACTGGTGATTGCAACTGAAAGCGTTGCACTTTCAATTATAACTCTGGCAGGTTGTACTTGTCGAAGTTACTTGTCGAGAAGCAAAATTGCTTCAAAAACAATGTTCGTCTAGATTACCCACCCATTCTAAATGGACAAACTTATCTAGAGACTTGAGTACTCTAAGATGATGGAACTCTTTAAAAATGAAGTTAATGATATTAAAATTGCTGACATGTTGCATATGCACAGAGCTCTGCTGTCCTGTTAAAGTGCATCAATATGTGATCCAGATGTATGAATTTATCCAATGGAATCTCAGGGCTTGTAGTCCTACTCTAGTTGTTTAATTGTACGGTATGTCTGACATACAGTTTGCTGCGCTCTCATGACATATCTAAAGCTGTTGCTACACAGTACTGTTTTTATAGTTTGGACATTTAGGGTAATGGCATGGAAGAGAAGCCATAAGGTAAAATACAGAATGTCTAGTAGACTTTAACAAACTACTTGTTTATCCATTCAAGGCATTTCTTTTAAAGGGATACCAACAAAATTTGGATCAAACATAGAGAGATTTGATGGTAAATATATTTCTTGCTAATTAAATTATACTCTAGTGAGAATAAATCAGCAATCTGATGATTTATCTGTGATTTAGATTTAGAGCTGTTTTGGATCATGACTTGAACATGCTAATGTGAGTACAGAATAACTTGGTGTACAATATGAGGTCCTAATGAGCAATCGGTAAAATGATTTACATGTGGGTGCTATACACCTTAAACTAGAAAAGTGGAAGTTAAATACAAGAACAACAAGATGTTATGTCTAGTGGCGGATTTAAGCTGTGGTCACACTACAGTTTGAGCTAGCCAAAATCTGTTGTACGGTGCTGCGAAAAGCGGTTGGATTAAACAAGATGATTAGACATTTAAAAAAGCGAGCGATTGGTCCATATTTTTTAATTTCTCTACAAGGAGGTCATGCCTTGATCCTCGATTGGTTTCTTGCAGCCAAGTGATGCAATTTTGCAGGTCAGAGTTCACCAAGCTTGAACTTTGCACCGCAGTGAACTGCAAAACTTAATGCACGAACTTATGATGCGTATAAATGGAAGTCAATGGGGAGAAAAGTGCAGTGTGACCGCAACTTTAGACATAGGCAATATGGGTGGTCGCCCTTGGGTGGCATCTTGTTAAGGAGGATATGACATCCCTCCTCACTTTTGTTCTCGACTTTCATGAAGGAGCAGGGCAGCATAAAATCTGTGGGGGCGGCATGATTGCCTAGAGTGCCAGTTCAGCTTGCTCCAGCCCTGGTTATGTCTTATTATGCTTACTCTTGTTTTAGATATGTCAGAATATATGAAAAAAAAAGGATTGACTTATTGACCGTGACACCAAACATACAGAGCTGAATTCAGTATCTGCTTTATTTATTTACAATATTGCTCCCAACCGTCCAGCGATGCAGTGGCGCAGTGGGTAGTGCTGTCACCTCACAGCAAGAAGGTCGCTGGTTTGAGCCTCGACTGGGTCAGTTGGTGTTTCTGTGTGGAGTTTGCATGTTCTCCCTGTGTTCGCGTGGGTTTCCTTTGGGTGCTTCGGTTTCCCCCACAGTCCAAAGACATGCGGTAGAGGTGAATTGGGAATTGTCCGTAGTGTATGAGTGTGAAAAAATGTGTGTGGATTTTTCCCAGAGAATGGTTGGGGCTGGAAGGGCATCCACTGCATAAAAACGTGCTGAATAAGTTGGAGGTTCATTCCGCTGTGGTGACCCCAGATTAATAAAGTGACTAAGCCGAAAAGAAAATTAATTAATGAATTGCTCCCTACCAGCCTGTTGCTGGGTCCTAGTGCTTGACCCCTGAGGAAAAAAAAAAAAAAAAAAAAAAAAAAAAATATATATATATATATATATATATATATATATATATATATATATATATATATATATATATATATATATATATATATATATATATATATATATATATATATATATATATATATATCTGTCTAGGATAAAGCATTAATTTGGGTCAAACAATCAGAAGTCTGTTTTAATTTATCTCAAGCTTGGCTCTGTAATTTTACAAAACAAACAAACAGAAAAGACCATCAGCTCAGGGAGTTAAAAAAAATGGGTAAAATTGCAATATTTTTATCCCTACTATATTTAACAAGGTCAGAACAAGTCAAGTCATTTTAATGATTTAATGAAAAGTATTAAAGTTTATTTTTATTAGCTTTTTTTCTGGAATAAATACTTATTTACATAATATATATTGTGAAATATATCTTTACTGTGAAATAAAACTACTCATACTGTGAAATAATTTGTTCATAATACCCACCCCTATTATGGACAGGCCCCTAAATTGGGTTAAAAAGTATTTTAAACCAAATATTTAATCCAAAGTTTGGGTTTGTCCAACCAAGCATTTTTAGCAAGCATTTTTGCATAAGGTAACTCTAATTGGATTCCAAAAGGCTTCATCACGCAATCAATACATTTGGACTCTCAAGACACATTTTAGATATTTTATATTATCATACACAATAAATATCACAGACTCCACAATGAAATCTGAAACAGCACTGGATGTTAAAGAGATTTTTAGTTTTCAGCTGAATCTGGTCTTAATGCTTTATTGGCTAATGGTAGGGATTTCTCAACATTAAGGGTCTTATCATAAACTTGCTGCAATGCAGTGCCATGATCAACGCAAGTGTTTTTTTGGTAGTTTCAACCTTTAACCTTTTCAAACTTTGTTTAAATAGCAAATGCATTTGGGCCCATTGTGCTTCCCAGAGTGTATCTGATCTGTGTTGAGGCACATTGCTGGTATGTTTAGTCGTGCCATTGACCAAACTAAAGCTGCTCTAAAGTAAATAGTGCAGATTTCTTAAAGAGTTTGTGAGTGATAGTTGGGTTCATAAGGCATGCACATATTGCCAATTACATGTACAGTATGAGCAACAACACAGAAATATATTTAAATATAAATAATTAAATGATTCAAATGTAATTAAATATTATAGTATATGTAAATATAAAAACACTACCTCCTTCCATGCTCTGGTTTCTCCAACAGTCCAAAGACGTGCGCTATAAGTGTGATGAACTAAATTGGCCCTAGTGTATGAGTGTGTGTGTATGTGTGTAAATGCAATAATTTATGGGTGTTCCCCAGTACTGGGTTGCAGTTGGAAGAGCAGGGAGTAAAACATATACCAGAATAGTTGGTGGTTCATTCCTCTGTGGCGACCCCTGATAAATAAGGGACTAAGCTAAAGGAAAATATATGAATGAATACCTTCTTTTATTCCTTCTTAATCTTAGGGGAAGGCTTTAGAATCCAGCTTGTTCCGTAGCTGGCCTGCTCATGTGTGAGGTTGACCATTTCCTCTCTACTGTTCAACCTATTATACAGTCTGCCATGTGATGCACACTTAAAATGACAGGGAGATGAGACTCTGATTGGTTTATTCCCAAAGCACCTTCATAACTCATTATGAGAATAAAGAAACACTTTTAGACTATGCACTGGGTTTTTCCTATTTTTTAAAAAGCAAAAGTGCCACCCCTTTAGACCAGTCTAGTAATTTAGCGCTTTAATAGCCTCTTTCACACAGTGATACCGGTAAATTTCTGGAAAATTTCCGGAACGACTTTACCGGTATATTGAAAAAAGCGCTGTTCACACAGGTGAGGACGTTATGGAAATTTTCGGGAAAAGAGCATTCACACATCCATTCCAAAATACTGGTAAATTCTGAAATCATTTACCACAAATGAGCTTTAAACGGCTGTGCTTGTATTTGTAAACATTTGACTAAATTACAAACTCTGTGGATGATCAATATTGTGAACAACTTTCGCAGGATCACTTTCGCATGTCGACATGTTCATTATATGTGCATGTGCAGGCGCTCATAGGCGCACGCAAAGCTTGAAGGTAAACAAACAACAGCTTATCATAAGCATCTCATCGATGAATATTTACACAGTTGGCATTAAGAAGAACATATAAACCTGATCTGACTAACTTCTAGCAGCTAAATGTGTCTGGAAAAATATTCAAAGGCTTTTATCCTCACAAACCGCGCGGACGTAAATGCGTCTGACTGTTGTGATTGGCTAAAGCAGACGTCTCATGTCAGCACGTTCTAGACGTGCACACGCTTATTACGGGAATCTTCCTTCTGCATTCACACAGCGCAGCATTCCGGCAAATTGCCGGTAATGTTACAACTTCTCTTTCCGGAAAATAGACAGAACGAATTTACCGGTATTTTCAAAAAGGACCTGTTCACACATACAACCAAGACAAAGGTCTGTATGTGTGAAAGGGGCTAATGTAACAATCTAAGTGCATGGTCTAAAGCAATGCTTCTCAACCACGTTCCTGGAGAACCACCAACACTGCATGTTTTGGATGCCTCCTTTGTCTGTCACACTCATTACAGGTCTTTCAGTCTCTCCTAATGAGCTAATGATATGAATCAGGTGTGTTTGGTTAAGGAGACATGAAAATGTGCTGAGCCGGTGGTCCTCCAGGAACATGCTTGAGAAGCACGATGCCATAGATTGTTACAATAAAGTAGGGATGTCCAAACTCGGTCCTGGAGGGCCGGTGTCCTGCAAAGTTTAATTCCAACCCCAATAAGACACTCCTGGGCAAGCTAATAAAGCTCTTACTAGGCTTACAAGAAACATCCTTTCAAGTTTGTTAAGTCAAGTTGAAGCTAAAATCTGCAGGACACTGGCCCTCCAGGACTAAGCTTGGATGCCCCTGCAATAGTTATAAACTTTTAGACCTGAGAATGACCAGGGTAGTGTTTTAAAAGACTTGTTTGAATGAAACTCTACAAGACATTCTGCATTCGGATGGAAGATACCGAATACTCCTGGTTTAGCTTTATTTGGAATGTAGTTCCATTTGGGATTGAGAGAAAAGGTGTGTTATTTATTTATTTCAACCAGAAATCCTTGAAAATACTAACAGTACATGAAGAAATATCATGATGTTTTTAAAATTGCACTTTTTACAAGTTTCTGTCCTCTCCTTTTGTTTAATCTATTTCTGGATTATTTATATATATATTTTGTTGCACCTCTGAATAATTGTGTGCTAATCGCTGGGAGTGTCTGACATACTTGTGTGTGTGTGTGTGTGTTTGTGTTAAAACCAAATACAGCTTTGTCTGATGTGATTGTTGTCTTGCTGACTGTACTCATGAAAACTCCCTGAGGCAGACACACGTTTCAGTACCTCATTCCCACCAATGCAGGCATCTACAGCTGCAGCAAACTGCTTGTTGTTCAGCTAATGTTACTTACTCTTTTCATGTTTGCAATAGTCTAGAGCGAATGCAGCGATGGACTGAATATTTGTGATGAGAAAAAAAATGCTATGAAGATTTCAAAACTTTTAAAGCATTCAAAGCAGTTTAGAGACATGGATTCTTAAAGCATGCTATTGTGCTAATATGTTATCATGCTATGGTATTGATTGTACCACAAACATGCTTCTTGAAACTTTTGAAATGTCCATGTTTGAGCTCTGTTTGGGCTGCACATGCTAGTAAATTGCTGTTTGAGGTTTCTGCAGTATCTTGTGCAACCATTACATTCAATGTAGTGAGTGCCTTTTGGAAATAAACACAGTTTGACAAAATTCATCAACGGGTTGTTTGCCATTTTCTCTTTCCTTTTAGTTTTATCTGTTTTATAAGTGTCCTGAATCAGTGCTCTCATCAAACGTGTGGTTTCCTCTCTCAAAGGTCAACTTGAAACATAAGAATCCACAAATAAGCACCAACAACACCACAAAATAACACTCAAAGCGCTATTTAAAAATCCCGAGGTAACATTCACCTTCAGATGTGTGTCCAGATGCAAGATCATCCGACACATTAAAAAAGCAAATATTGTGCAACCTTGATGGGCAAGATATCCCTCTTATAATAGACCCTTGAATCCAAATTAGCCAAACAATGCCAGACATTGATTCAAACGCTCAATAAAAGGTAAATGAAAAAAGGATTTATGTAAATATTTGATTGGGTAAATTGTTCACACAGGCTTTTAGTGCCATCACAGCAAGAGAAATTTACATTCGCTTGGCAGCCGCAGCCTACATTATTGAGCTATGGGAAGCAACTCTTCTCAGCATTACTGACCTTGACATCTGAGTCAATAATAGTGAAGAAGCTGTAAATGGAGGTAAATGTAGAGGTAATCTCCTTTGGGAGCTGTGGTTGTGTGTGTGTGGCTTCATTAATGTGTACTAAAATCTTAAATCTAATGGCTCTGAGGATAAAATGCCATTTTCCATTCTTTGTCAATCTGTTAATTAACCCTTTTTAAAAATATTTTGGGATTCATTTTTAGACTTCCATTATTGGATCAACTTTGGATGTTGAGACTTTTATTTATTGTTGTTTTAGTTTGAAATAATACATAGTCTGCTGTCCTTGTTAATAACAGTTAGAAAGAAAAAAAATCTGTAATTTTGTTAAATTATTTCTATATTTTTTATTTCTATTACAATATTGTTTCAAAGCACTTAAATTGTCAATAAATGTCACTTTGTTAAATTGAAAGTTCAATCTTCAACATGAAAAGCTGTCAGGGTAAAGGTCCCACTTTGCTAAATGAAATAGCCTAACTTAAAGAGTCACGAAACACCAAAACACATTTTTGAGCTGTTGACTCTTATATATGTGTCCCATGCTGCTGAAAACACTATTAGGACACATATATTTCACTAAAAAGTGTTTCGAGCAAATTCGTACTTCCGGTTTGAAACAAACTTTTGAAGCTGCGTCACGGCCATGAGATCTTAGCGTGTATTCCAGCATGT